GTACTTGTATTGGTATGGGCATTGATGTTAGATTCTGGAAGAAAGGTAGGTAGGTAGATAGATAGATAGATAGATAGATAGATAGATAGCATGTGAAAAGAATCTCTCTGTCTCTCTCTATATATATATGTAGATGATAGATAGATAGATAGATATAGATAGATGATAGATAGATAGATGACAGATGATAGATATCTCCATCTAAATGACTCTATATCCTACTACAGAGATACTTGTACAGCCATATTCTTTGATGTTCTGTTCACAAGAACTAAGAAATGGAATCAGCCTATATGCCCATCAACTGGATGGATAATGAAAATGTGGTACATATACACAATGAAATTTTATTCAGGTGTAAAGATAAATGAACTATGAGATTTGCAGGTAAATGGATGGAATTGGAAAGTACTTAGTGAGGTAACTCAGGCCCAGACAAATACCATATGTTCTCTCTCATATGCAGATCCTAGCTTTGAATTTTTAGATTTATGTGTTTAATTTGGAGTGCCTGTAGAGGCCAGAAAGCTAAAAAGGAGTCATTAGGAGGAAGAGTTTAAGAGAGGAGGAGAGTGGAGCACCTGTGACATGAAAGTGGAGGAAGGGACTACTGGGGATGCAAAGGTTCAAGTGGAGATGTGGGTGGGGGAGATGGTAAGGGGGACAGGGAAGGGTTGGACAAAGAAAGGTTTATGAAAACGCCATATGGAAACCTACTATTTTATAAGTGTGTAGTTTGAATGAAAATGTCCCCCATAGGCTCCAAGTATTTGGACATTTTGTCCCCAGTTGGTGATGCTGTTTTGGGAGGTCTTAGAAAGTGTAGTTATCTTGGAAGAAACACATCACTAGGGGCAGGCTTAGAGAGTTCTTAAGCCTTACCAGATCTCCAGTTGCTCTCCTGCTTCCTATGCCTGCTTGAAGGTGTGGAGCCTAGCTTTTGCTCCTCCTCCAGGCACCTCTGCCACCATGCCTCCCTGCCATGTGGACTCTTGCCCCTTTGGAACTGTAAGCTCAAATAAACTCTTCCTTCTGTAAATTGCTTTGGTCCGTGTTTCTATCACAGCAACAGGAAAGTAACTAATACAATAAGCTAATTAAAATGTATACTTTTTTTAAAGTTTAAAGGGAGACACCCACATGTGTGAATAATGCTGCTCCCAGAAGCCACATTGTTAAACAGAAATCCCAGTGGAGGTATAAGATACTTTCTTATGAGTTGTTCATCAGGAAGACCCCAGAAGCTCCAAAAACACTATAAGCTATTGCAGTTACTCTTGGTTACTCACATGAGATGATAAGACCCTATTGCTGAAGACATCACACACTTTGGTTGTAGGACATAGAGAAATCAAGCTGGTACTGAGCTGGAACCAACCTCCCTGCTGGCTAGCCCTCACAGTGACTGTAGGTGCTAGGCAGGCTGCTCTGGGAGGAAAGTCATCAATGGTCTCAGCCAGATGTGAATCCTGAAAGCTACAATATCAACCTGCCAGACAAGATGTGTCCACCTGTACAATAGTGGCATGACTGTTATGGGAGCAACCAGCTGCTCTCTGATTGAATCTGAGGCTCACTCCACTAAAGGAATTCGTGCCTGGTCTTGTAAACCTGGTCAAAAACCCATGGCTGGGGAAGGTTTATAGGGCCTAGTGGGGAGCCTACTAGTGTTGTTTTGCTGAGTGGACATGATGTCAAATCGCTTTTGAAATATTTTCTACCCATAAACAAGTGCTATTCTCAGCCTTAGCCAGAGAAGCATCTGTTTGTATTGGGCACAGTTAATACGGAGACTCATAACTGATCAAAGTGCTGAGAACAAGTAACTCTTGAGTGCTCAGGATAGCTATATCACCCTTTCCAAGTCTGAGAACACTTCGGAGGGGGGTGGGCAGAAAGAAGGTAAGACCATGAGGAAAAGAAGAAGTGCTAGGAAACACTGTCTTCTGAACATGATATGACTGTTGCACCTGTGAACTCTCAGCAGCTATGGTTACCTGTACAAAACTGGGACCACCACATTCCATCATGGATGGGGCAGTGGCTCATACAGCCCTACCTCTTCTTGAGAAACAGTTATGAGGGAGAGGGAGTCCTATTCTTTGGCAGTATAGCCACTGGCAAGCTGCCCTTCATCAAGTAAACAGCACCCACCCCCCCATGCTCACGGGCAAACCTAATAAAATGCATCCTTCACATGGATTCACAAGCACATGTGCGTGTGCCCCCCCAAACACACACAAGCACATGCACACGAAAAAGGTGAGGGGATACCATGGCTGACCAGAGGGGCAAGACTGAGCTCCAGAATGACTTGTCCCCAACTCCCTTTCTCATTATATAATCTTATATAATCTGAGGTAAGACATTTTTAGGATGGTTTTCTCAGATTGTCAGTTTTCTAAATAAAGTGAAATTTTAAGACTTAATTCATGTCTCTATTCATTGGCTCCTTGAGTTACAGTCAGCATGAATCAAATTCCAGTCATAATTCACCTTTCTCATTCCACCATTCTCTCCTTTTTTGATTAACTTTTATGTGTTTGAGTGTTTTGCCTGTATGTGTGTTAAGTGCTCTCCTGTCATGCAGTGCCCACAGAGGCCAGAAGATGGCATCAAATCTCCTAGAACTGGAGTTATGGACTATTAGCAGTCATGTGGTGCTGGGAACTGAACCCAGGTCCTTTGCAAGAGGTCCCTCCTGCTCTTTTACCTGACTGATCACAAAAGGAGCCATGGACGAACTTCACAGGAGGGCCCCAGCATGGAATATCACTCATCTACCCTAGCTTGCATTCTTACATGGAGCTTTTTCCTGAATAAGACTCCACTCTGAAGCAGTGATCTTAATCCCTATGTCATAATGCCATTGTGAATTCACAGTTTGCCCTGGTTCCTGCTACTCATGCCAGAACTTGAGAAGTAGTGAAATCAGGGCTAATGGACCATCCAGAGGCAGGCCATGATGTGTGACCTTTGTGTAAGAGAAATTACCAGCTCTAGTAGGGGTGGATGGGTATGCCCCTGGACTTCACAGGTCTAGGGGAAAAGCACTGAGTGGTTTTGTACAGGGCCATAGAGAAAAAAGGCAGTCTTAATTCATGTATGACTTTCTCATTTAATTTTGATGGTAGGCTGAGGAGAGTATAAATATATATGTAATTCGAAAAGAAGATGAAATTTCTCAAAAGAGGAAGAAAACAAAGGTATGCAAATGAGTGAGTAGAACTCCATAGAGTTGAGAGAAATCCCAAGCATTTGCATCTGTGTCCCGGTGGGGGCGGGGATTCTGCCTTTTCCCCATCCAGTCTACAATGACCAGCAGTCAAGTCAATTTTGACTCATTTCCTCTGCATCTCCTCAGCCTGGACCCTTGGATCTGGGTCTAACTATGACATAGAAAGGGATTAGAAAGAATGAATTAAGGAGTAGAATGTTCTAACTATAAGAAGGTTGGTTGTAGACTATACAGGAAGTTCTGCAAACTCCACCATGCCATCAAAATATAGGATTGAGGGCAGAGAGAAGTCAGCAGTGTGTTTGGGGACATGACTCAGCAGAGAAAAATCAGGCAAAAGCTTTAGGAGGGAAATCTTCCCGAATCAGTAAGCCCTGAAGATGTGACGTGTGACTAACAAAGCCCCTCACATCCCTAGGGTAACCCTTTCAGTAACTCTGGTTTTCCCTTGATCTAGGCGGCAGTGCGGTAGGCATGAGAACAATATGAGTGAAGGGTGGTGATGCATGCCTGTAATCCCAGTACTTGAGAGGTGGAGGCAGGAGGAACAGAGGGTCAAGGTCATTCTTAGCTACATAGGCAGTTCAAGGCTAGTCTGGTATAAATACAAGAGATAAGAGAGATTGACTCTGAAGGTGAGGCGGTGTGTCCACAATAGTAGAGAAGGGTCCCTATCAGGTCTCCTGGCTCCTGGCCAGTGTCCTGCTAACTCCCCTGAATTCTCTGAGGGAAAGCCAATGCTAAAGGACAGAGTCCAGAGCCCACCCAGCCCCTCCCAAGAAGACACTAGAAGTTGGTGGCACCTAGGTCCCTGAGTGATCTCTTTTATCTCTGTCTAGAAACACTCAGCCCAACAAAAAAAAGCAGTCATCCAAGTCCAGGCCTGGTGGCGTGGCACCCTGGTACGCAGATCACTGCTGCACACAGCCCTGTGTGCCTGTATCATTCAGCGTTGGTGGCAACAAACGCACCTGAAGTTGCTGGAGGTGAAGCGGAGGAAGGTGTTGATTGACTATTCAAACAAGGAGAGAGCAGTGGTCAAGCTCCAGTCTCTGGTTCGTATGTGGCGCATCCACTGGAGGTACTGCCAAGTGCTCAGTGCTATCTACATCATCCAGTATCACTGGCAATACCACAACTTCCAGTCCTGTTCTCTCCTGCGGGGTCATTGTGTGGTCACTACCACTCACCTGCAGTTCCATATCGAGATCATTGACAACTAAGAGCATTGACAACTAAGAGCCAGCAAGAAGAGACAATGTGTCTTCTGTCTCCAGTAAAGGTCTAACCTGGTCTGATGTGTGTTACAATGTTTCCAGCTCCTGAAAACCTTGAGACATGGGCTTTGCTGACCCCTGTTCTCCCTCACAAACTTCAGTGAGGTTTCCTGGGTATTAGACTTGCAATGGCCACAAGCCACTCACCTAATTATCAGAACAGAAGCTGGGGTCCCAACCTGCCCTGACATATGACAAAGACTGAAATCTCAGTTCCCACCTATTCCCAGTCCCCTTTCTTCCTTCCAGCCAGGGACCTGGGCAATAAGTGAGCTAAGTGTGAGCTAAGTGTGAAAACTCTTGACACATCTATAAACATAGGTTGTTAACTCTGAAGTTCTGCTCTATAGCCTGGGGTCAGAGTTGGCTGAGATTTGGAGTACCTCAGTTTCCTCTTTAGAAAGCATCTAGAGAAAATGCTAATGTCTGAATGACTCTTCTGAGGGCAATGCAATGTGACCCCAAGTGAAGGACAGAAGGTTGGCCTTAGTGCTGGTTGGGGCTGAGAACGCAAATAGACAGGGGATGACCCTGCAGACTAATGTAAAAGAGAAGTTCACACCTCAGTTATTTAGGCCAGGCATAGTGGTGCACACCTTTAATCATAACACTTGGGAGACAGAGACAGGTGAATCTCTTGTAAGATCAAGGCCAGCCCCGTCTACACAGCAAGCTTTAGATCACCTAGGGCTACAGAGATATCCTGTCTCAAAAAATCCAAAAATAAATAAATAATAAAATGGTGTGTGTGTGTGTGTGTCTGTGTGTCTGTGTGTACAACTTACAGGAACAATCCTCTCCTTCCACCATGTAGGTTCCAGAGATTGAACTCAAGTTATAAGGTTTGGAGGCAAATGCCTTTACCTGATGAGCAATCTTGTGGGCCCTATTTCTCTGTTCTCACCTTATGTAGTCTCTGAATCAGACTATAGAGTTTACTTTCTTACTGAAGCCTAATTTTTCAAGGACAATAGCAAAATTTTTATCATTTAATTCACATGTACTTTAGAATATATCTTTTTTTTTTTTTGGTCTTTTTGAGACAGGGTCTCCCTGTAGCCCCAGCTGTCCTGGAACTCACTATGTAGACCAGGCTGGCCTTGAACTCACAGAGATCCGCCTACCTCTGCCTCCCAAGTGCTGGGACTAAAGGCATGCCCCACCACACCTGGCTTATGTACTTTAGAATATATCTTTAATAGGTGCCATATGTGTGAAAATAAAGTCACATTATTATCATGTGTTTCAACATTCACAATAATGAATATTATAATAAATAATACCTCATAACTATGTTCTGAAATATATGCAGCAGAATTCTGTACCCTCTTAGTGTTTTTGTAACTTTTCCTGGGGAGATATAGGCCAACATCTGCTCTCCCCAGATAGGTTTCATTTACTTCCTGAATCTTAAGTCTTCTTCCTCCCTCCAGAAGGAAATGCTTCACTTTGGAGTAAATAACTACAGAATAACAGTTAACCACTACTCTACATCAAACCATAGAAGCCACTGATCCATATCTGGTGTTTATTGTGGTCTTTTCCAGCCATGTAAAAGGAAAAACAATTTGAAGCCTTTTGAGTCTGGCTTTTTTCACATAGTATGATACATTGGCTGTTTTTTTCTCTGATTAATTGATTTATATGTGTATGAGTGTTTTACCTGCATGTATGTAAGTACACCATGTGTGTGCAATTCCCATAGAGACCAGAAGAGGGCGTTGGATTCCCTGGAACTGGAGTTACAGATGGTTGTTAGCTGTCATGTAGATGTTGGGAACTGAACCCGGGTCCTCTGCAAGAGTAGCTAGTGCTCTTAACCACTGACTCATCTCTCCAGCTCCATTTGATGCTTCTTTATAATGTTTTGGATATCCATTTGTTTTCATTTCTGAGTAGCATACAATTTACAAAAAAAAAAAAAGTCATAAGGAAATAAAGTCTACTACTTTTCTCTCACAAACTTGACAATTTAGAAGAAATTGATCAACTGCAGAAAACCATCAGTAACAACTCAGATGAAATAGATGAGCTAAATAGTTCTATAACCATTAAATAAATTGAATTGATCATTTAAAGGCTCCCTTAAAATAAATCCTCAAAGTCTCTATGGCCTCACTGGAGAATTTTAAATAAATGTTTAAAGGATAATCTTTAAAACCAATTTTACATAATCTCATTCAGAAAGTAGAACAGAAACCATTCCAACTTAGTGGAAATGGGCCTGTGGTGGAAATTGCAAGCTGCTCACACAGATTGCATCGAGAATGGAGGCTAGTGTTAAAAGGACAGTTAAGGGTTGGGGGGGAAGGAGGGCTATACAAAGAACCACTGTTGGAATAAAGGGGAAAAAAATTCTCCAGACACACAGGAAAAAAAAAAAAAAAGCCTTAAGCACAGAAGGAACCCTATGGGGATGGAAGAAAGCCCTTCCAGAAGCAATACTGTTGTTAAATGAAAATCCCAGTGCCAGAGGTGGGTTGTCCCCCTATGAGCTGTTGGCCTGAGGGGCCCTGAAGATCCCAAAACAATAAAGGCCATTGCCAATAATGTTGGCAACCAATGATGTTGGTTGTACATCAGACATGGACAGAGAGACCCTATTGCTGAAGACACTGCTTGATATGAGTGCAGAAGAGAGAGAAATCAAGCTTGGACTAAGCTGTAAACTCCCTGCCACTGAATGGGTGGCTTTTGTGGTGCCAAAAGGCAATATGTAGATGACTGGGGGAGAATCATCCCCTATAATTCTGCTCAACAATGGATCCCGTGTGTTGCACTATCAACATACCAAACAAGATGTTCCTGCTGGTATAATAGTAGAGGTCTAGTGTATGTACAACCAGCAAATTTTCAATTGGATATAATGCCTGCTCCTAGGGGTGGAACACACATCTGGTACTGTAGACCAGACCAACCCCTGTGGCAGGGGAGAATATAGGCCCCAGTGGGACGTCATTGCAATTGTTTTGTTAGATGGATGTGATGCACCTGGTAAAGTACCATTCAAGCATTGGTGTTTGTACCCATAGGTTAAGTTATTATAGCAGCCACTGTTTAGATGGTCTTGCTTTGTGCTGTTTGTGTTTTTATAGTAGATGGAATCCCACTGAAATGGGCCAACAGCCCATGGAAAACTGACAATGCAGAGACCTGAAAGTTCAGTGTCTTGCCACAGTAGGAGGAAGATATCCCACACCTACCACCCCCTCCAAGGCTCGGGGACTTTTTCAGAAGAGGTTGGCAGAAAGAATGTAAAAGCCAGAGGAAGGGGTAGAGTGTTAACTGGAAGTGTACTCTGACCACTATGCCAGCAAGCTATAGTCACACCTCCTTCCCACGCTCATCAAGGAGTCGAAGGGGGAGTCAGTTACCCCTCCCACCCAATCAGTCCATCTTAGCTTCGTGTGGGGAAGGGGGCAAAGGATATATAAGCCAAGAACTCCAGGAGGCACCTCTCTCACCATTTTCTGCCACTGTCAGGAAGTCACAGGATCTATATTTGAGTGTGGACTTTCCAGTGCAGCCATAAATGGGGGAGGGGAAACCCACTGCTTTGTTAAATAACCCCCCACCCTGTGCTCTGTTACAAAAAAAAAGGACACTTAAGAGTTAAAATAACAGGCGCTGGAGAGGTGGCTCACCAGTTAAGAGCACTGGCTGTTCTTGCAGAAGACACAGATTTGAATCCCAGTACCCATATAGTGGCTAACAACCATCCTTAACTCCAGTTCCAGGGGATCCAATGTCCTCTTCTGTCCTCCTTGGGCATTGTACAACATGGGTGCACTAACACACATGCAGGCATTACACTCACAAACATAAAATAAAAATAAATAAATCCCCCCAAAAAATTTAAGGTCAAAATAACAGTCTAGAGCACTGAAGATTAGAGGGCTGATTGCTGGGAATGAGACAGCCAAACTAAACATTAAATTAGAGGAAGTGGAGGGCCCTGGGCCCATGACAGCAGACCAGTGGTCCCATCTCCCCTGAAGCCTTTGAAGAACATGTGTAAGGGTGAAGGCGTCAATGGTCTTTCATACATCCTTACTTCAGACATCTAATTTTAACAAATTGCTTCTAAGAAGCCTTCACCTATTTCAGGAAAGAGATCCAAGACCATCTCATAGACAAGGAAGTAATTAAGAAAAATGCAGATTTTTCTTGGTAGGTATGAGAAACAAAATGCTTAGTATAATTGTCTGTGGGTTTGGGGTGGGGGGTTGTTTGTTTTGTTTTGTTTTTGTCTTTTGAGACAGGGTCTCCCTGTAGATCCACCTGGCCTGGAACTCACTAAGTAGACCAGCTGGGCTTGAACTCACAGAGATCTGCCTGCCTCTGCATCTGAGTGCTGGGATTGAAGGCATATGCCATCACACCCAGCATGCACAATGCTTAATATAACTAGACCATCACACCCAGCATACACAATGCTTAATATAACTAATAGCACTTGGCAGACCTGCAAGGTCAGAGGTAACACCACCAGTCAAGGACTAACAATTAGCAGTCAAGATTAACAATTAACAAAGTCAGATTCAGAAATACAGAGGGACATAGAGGGAATGTCAACCACCCCTAACTGAGTGGGCAGCACATGGATGCTGCAAGATCATCTCCCTCATTAGACCAGGGAGACATGCATAGAGCCCGTGGGCCCTCCATTACCTCTGCCTATGATAGAGCAGAGAACTAACCAACCTCAACCTTTGTCCAGTCCCTGCCATCACCCTATAAAAGCCACTAGATGCCAGGCAGGCACTAATAGCAGGCAAATCTATGTTTCAAGACCAGCCTGATCTACATAGCAAGTTTTAGATCACCTAGGGCTGTAGAGATATCCTGTCTCAACCAAGGAAGCCTAATAGCTTTTTTTCTCTCTTGGTAACCCTGGCGTTCTTGAGAGTCTTTCTTACTTTCTTACTTTTCCTCAGTTTCTCACT